AGGGCGGTCACTGTGCCGAGCGACCGCCGCACACGTCCTCCCAAGGGACGCGGGGACAGCACACGCCCTGCGGCGTTCCGTGTGGGGAGGGTCCTCGGCAGGAGTTTGCTCCCCAGCCCACTCCTGTCCCACCTCTGAAAAGGGGTTTGCGTCCCTGTAGACCCCTCTTGCTGCCAGGAGAGAGGAAAATATTTTGCAGGTTGATTTTTTTGCTCCATTGCCCGGGTGCAGTGTGCCCCTGGGTCAGGCTCTGCAGGCACCCCGCGCTCCCGAGAAGCCCGGGATAACTGGGAGCTGCCTCCTGCCCGGCTCTAACACCAACGCAAACCCGCATTGCCAACACGGTGCAAAGCTGGTGAGCCCCAGCCCGGCCTCCCGGTGCCCACCCGCTCCCCTCGGCTAAAGCCGCTCACCTCGCGGCTGCTCCCGCGCTGCCCGCGGCCGGAGGTTTGCGGGATGGGGACCCGATTCCTGCCCCCGACCCCGAGAAGAGAGGGGACAGCCCCGTTCAGAGAGGGTAAGACGGGTGAGAATGGCACTGACCTTAAACAGGCATGGCAGCCCGACGCCCTCACAGCACCTTTTCATTTTAAGACCATCCCTCCGCAGGCAGCGCGTCGCTGAAGGCAGCGCTTAGGGCTCACCGGGCTGCTGTCCTGGCTGCGAACCACAAAGAAGGGGGAATTTTGGTTAATGGCTTGGGTTTTCCCGGGCTGCCACCTTTGGGCACGGCTCCAGGCGTCACGGTGAGGCCAAGCTCTACGTCCCGCAGCCAACTCCCAAGCTCGGGACCTTCTGTACCAGGAACAGAGGAATTAAAGGAGTCTCCAGTGAGTGGGCAGAGCCCGTTTAATGCTTCTGATCCCTCTTAATTCCCCCGAGCACCCGGGCTTTGCCGCACGTGAAAGCGGCCAGCAGAAGGGCTCGACAATAAACCCCCGGCAAGACACGCCCTGTTCCAAAATTGCCCTGATTTTCTTCCAGTAGAATTAGTTTGGGGTGTTTCTGTTAATGGAGTAATTATCCTGGAACGAACCCGGCTGCCCAGGTAGCTCGGGTGAGGATGTGCCAGTCCGCTGCCCCGCAGCGAAGGCAGAGCCCAGGTCACGTCTCCTGAGTTTTGCCGACCTCTCGTGGTCCACAGCGATGGGAAACCTCAAAAAACCAACCTCGCAGCCAAACCCGGCTGGAAACTCAGGCAGGAGGAATAACACGCTGGGACACGGGAAATTTTCACCGGGCACCGGTAGCTCGGCTTAGCTGGGGCTAGGAGGAGTTCAGTGATTTTTTTTTTTGTCATCAGCATGACAACAGGAAGAGATTTTCAGCTGAAGGTGGCTTGTGGGGGATTTGTCTGGTTTGAAGCCCAGCATCAAACTATTTTGGGCACAAACGCGATTCCTGACTCTGCTAAAATAACAAATCGCAACTGCAAAAGGAAGGGGGGGGCCACTCAAAATTAAGCCCCGGCTTTAAAAAAGCCTTGTAAAAAATCTTGTAAAAGCGACTTTTGTGAAACCTTCAAAGCAAACACTAGGTGGTGTTGGGTTGATGGTCGGACTTCGTAATCTTAAAGGTCTTTTCCAGCCTTAATGATTCTGTGATTTCTCTGCAGAAGCATCCGTCAAAAGCTGATTTTTATTTACAGACATCATCTGAAGCCAAATAATGCTACAGCCAGCCTGGGAGTGGGATTAGCCACCATGATTTTCAGGTCCAAACCAAGAGAAAGAGGAAAAAAAGATTAAATTTGAAAGAGTAATTGTAATTTTTGTCATCATATCCTAAAGAGCTGCCGGCGATGAGAACATAATTGGGGTCTAAGCCTTAAGGAGACGTTGTGGTACCGATGCAGCGGCACAGGGAAAGAGCCCTTGC